TTCCAAACAAAAGGAAATTGGGCCAAAATCCGTGCATGCATTCGTCGATAAAATCAGGAAACACTGGAAGACCTTGTTGTGAAAAGCAGCTCTTTTTTGCACAGGATACAGCTGCCGACATGGGCCAAGGCAAGGAGGTAGACACAGCTTAATGATGACCACCAAGAGATCATTACTGGGTGAGGGAGAAACTTCCAGAAGCTTGGAGGAAAGTGATCGGTCGTGACAGAATTTACAATCACCAGGAACAGGATGTGCTATACAAAGGAACAAGCCATCTCAGGGAATGGGGCGGGAAGTCGGAGCCTGGGGGCCGAGCAATGGCAGGCGGGCAGGAATGTCGGGAGTCCTGGGAGAGGCCATACTGAAGTCAGGGCCTCAGACAGCAGGGCGAAACATGGATTGTCCGTGGGCCCCTCTGGGAGCCAGGCTCCAAATCCCAAGGACTGGGGAAGGGAGGACAGGACCAGAGTCCCAGATGAGCAGGACACTTGGGCAGGTTCCAGGACAGAGAGCAAGGCCAGGGAGGAAGGACATTTCTAGGAAGTGCCCCATGGCTGCAGCTGCTCTCCAGGGCAGTGAGGAGCCAAGCCAGACTTGGGGGCTAGCAGGAAGGCTCTCACCAGGGCAGCAGGGGCTTTGGGTGGGAGCCGTGCACAATCCGTTGCTGAAATGGGCCCAACGGCACGGTCAGGACATCAGGCAAATCACTACAGAGCACAGCCTTGGGTCAGGACCACAGATGTCTCTGGAAGCCAGCCAAGGAGAGAAAATGCACAAAGCAGACAGACACATGGGAAGATGTAAGAGCAAACGGGAGCTCAGATTCAGAATTTGATTCTCTTTTGTTCTAGTCTGGTCTAGTTATTTATCTGAAAAGCAGAGTAACAAAGAGATGAGGGGACAGGCAGACAAAGAGGTCTCCCATCTGCTGGTTGACTCCCCAGATGCCTGGAACTCCATCCAGGTCTCCCACATGAGTGGCAGGGGCCCAAGCACTCGGGCCATCTTATGTCGTGTTGCAGATGCGTTAGCAGGGGTCTGGATCAGAAGGGGAGCAGCTGAGACTCAAACCAGTGTTCATACGGGATGCTGGGGTTGTGGGCAGTGGCTTAACCTGCTGCACCCCAACACCAACCCCTGGATTCAGAATTCTTTAGATAAAACATCAACTAAACCAAACTTGGAGTGAGTTCAGGCCCGTTTCGGCCTAAGGACTATAGCTCACAACTCCTGCTCCCCATGGGCCCACAGTTAGGGATAGTATTCACAGGTGCCAGCAGATGATGCCACACCTGAGACCAGAAACCCTTAGAGGGGAAGGTGGTGAGGGGAACTTAACCATTCTTTAAACAATTTTTTACAATTTTTTTACAATACGAGAGAACTTCAAAAATTCATAGAGAAATGGAATTAAAAGATAAGCTGATTTTGGTGCCATGCATAGTTTATTTTCAAATCTGTATATGATTTTTCTAAAATAATATACAATTTCTATGTACTTTTTGAAGACTCCTTATATGCATGGATTTCAAAAATTTTGCACCAAAATCAGGTTTTAAAAATATTTATTTATGGGGCTGGCGCTGTGGTGCAGCAGGTTAACACCCTGGCCTGAAGTGCCAGCATCCCATATGGGCGCCGGTTCAAGACCTGGCTGCTCCACTTCCGATCCAGCTCTCTGCTATGGCCTGGGAATACAGTAGAAGACGGCCCAAGTCCTTGGGCCCTTGCACCCACGTGGGAGATACAGAAGAAGCTCCTGGCTCCTGGCTTCAGATGGGTGCAGCTCTGGCCATTGTGGCCAACTGAAGAGTGAACCAGCAAATAGAGGACTTCTCTCTCTGTGTAACTTTGAATTTCAAATAAATAAATAAATCTTTAAAAAATATTTATTTATGTACTTGAAAGGCAGAGTTATAGAGGGAGAAAAAAAAAGAAAAAGAGAGATCTTCCATCTACTTGTTCATCCCTCAAATGGCTGCAACAGCTGGAGCCAGGGGACCAGAAGTCTATCCAGGTCTCCCACGTGGGTGGCAGGAGTCCAAGCACTTGGGCCCGTCTGCTGCCTCCCCGGGCACATTAGCAGGAAGCTGGATTGGAAGTGGAGTGACTGGGACTTGAACCCATGCTGATATGGGACATCAGCATCGCAGGCAGCCGCCTAAGCCTCTGTGCCACAACACTGTCCCCTAGACATTTTAAAATTCATTTCCTACAAACTTTTTGAAGATCCCTCACATAACCACACATGAGTCTGAGAGGGGAACAAGACAGGCAGAAGGCACCTAGAGAAACCAGCTGAGGACAGACGTCGCTGTTCTCCGAGTTCAGATTTTCAGAACAGGAACACACGGAAACAATGGTGGAAGGAAAGGACCCTGGCCAAGCATGAGTAGAACCGGTGGCATGACCTTGACAGTCAGGGCAGGGCAAAGCTCAGGCCGCAGTGAGGCCTGCAAAGAAGCTGACGGCGGGAAAAGGCTTGGCAAGCTGTTAGGGGCAAGAAATGTGCCACGGGGCAGCTGCCTGGCTTGTAGGGCACGGTGGTGTGGACAGAGACGGAGGAAGCAACACTGCCTTTTGCTTCTTTGTATTTAGGGGACTGGATAAAGAGAATCCCTCACCGTCAAGTGGGATGGACGTGGCAAGACCCCAGGAGCAAGCTCTCCTGATTCCAGGCGCGCTGGCCCTCACCCTCGGGCTGTGCTCTGACCACACGCCTGGGCTCGCTCTGAGAAGGACAGCCAGAAGGTTCCCCCGCACATGGGCTCGGCCACAGCCAGGTCTTCACAACTGCCCGGAGGTTCTCCTCTCCAGGCCCTGCCCAGTCTTGGCCCTTCACAGCCGGTCCTGTGACCAGCACGTCACAGGTGCACAGGGTGTGGACGTCCCAGTTCCAGAACGCAGTGACGGACCTGTGCACCGCACAACCCCCACTGCCCATCTGCGCGGTGGACGGGCTTGCCAAACCGACCGAGGCTGGTCCACCACCCAACCCCTTAGCCAGCATCTCTGGGGGAGGAGCTTGGGCCCCAGTGTGTGTGTGTGTGTGTGTGTGTGTGTGTGAGAGAGAGAGAGAGAGAGAGCTCCCTCCCAAATAGCTGCAACAGCCAGGGATGAGCTGAAGCCAAAGCCAGGAGCCAGGAGCTCCATCCAGGACTCCCACAGGGGTGCCAGGGACTCAAGGACTTGAGCTATTACTGCTGCCTCCCAGGGTGCACATCAGCAGGAAGCTGGAGTCAGGAGCCAGAGCCAGCAACAGAACCCAGGGCAGCATGGGATGCAGGCGTCTTAACTGCAAATCCAAACTCCCGCCCCTCCCCCAGCTCTCTGCTAATGCGCCTGGGAAAGCAGTGGATATGGTCTGAGTGCTTGGGCCCCTGCACCCACGTGGGAGACCAGGATGAAGCTCCTGGCTCCTGGCTTCACTGTGGCCCAGCTCTGGCCATTATGACCATTTGGGTAGTGAGCCAGTAGATGAAGACCTCTCTCTCTGCCTCTCCCTCTCTGTAACTCTGCTTTCCAATAAATAAATAAATTAAAAAAAAAACACTGAGGACAATAAGCCAGTTGTTAGACAAAGTTCTGCAGTCAGTATTGGCCATTAGCCCATTAGCGTGACCTATGGAAGGTCCCACCATCTCTCTCTGTCCCTTTCCCCACCTGTGAAGTGAGGGTATGGTGACCCTGCCTGGGATTTGCCATGAGGTTCACTGAGAGAGTGCATGTGAGAGTGATGTATGCATTCGCCCTGTTAGGATCATTGCTGGGTCTACTCTGGTGCCCAAGCAGAGAGCAAGAGGAGGGCCCGAATGACCAAGGACTTGACCAGGCATAACTAGGCCCTTCCTCACGTTTCTCACCATCCGATCCTTGCACATTTTTGCATGACCCATGGACAAAGGTTTGTCAGGGGAATGTCTGAATGGAGACAATACAACCCGAACGCTTTGATCTCCTTTATGGAAATGATGTTCACTTTCCTTCTATTGTTCCGAGAGAGGGAATGCGCCCAGGATAAGAGCTCCATGTCCTGCACAGCGTCCCAGTGTGGCCAGACACTCGGGACTTTATGACCAATGTCACTCTGTGTCTTAACGTGAAGAAAACCTAAAGGTTGATGGCTGCTACTATTTTGTGTTTCCTTCTGCTCTCTTTGGACTCAGGTAAAGTTTCGTGGCTAAAGTGAAGGCATACAAGTTCTTATTTAGCAATAGAAAGAGGACTAGAAGTGTAATTAAAAAAACAATCAGGGCAGACAGCTGCTGCAGCCGTCAAGATACTACTTGGGAAGTCCACATTCTCTCTTGGAGCACCTGGGTTCGAGTCCCAGCTTTCTTCCTGATCCCAGTTTCCTGTTTATGCACACCTGCTAATGCATGGTGACTCAAATACCTGGGCCCCTGCCACCCACATGGGAGACCTGGATGGAGTTCCTGGCTCCTGGCTTCAGCCTGGCCCAGCACTGGCCTGTGTGTGTGTGTGTGTGTGTGTGCGTGTGTATCACTCTGCCTTTTAAAGAAATCTTTTTCCTTAAAAAAAAAATGATGGAGCTATGTCCTAAGACACACGAGCCAACTTTATATGGGTCCCACCGGCCGAAGCTGGGACATTTTGAGCATCAGAATATACAGTGACATCAACAGATTGTCACTCAGTGAGTAAAACAGGAATGTACAAGTCCACACTCGCATAAATAAATAATCAGTGGAGAAGGCAACACATTAGCGTAGAATAAACTATGGAGTCAGGAAAATCCCCATGTGGCAACTCTTAGAGTGAAAATGGATTCAAGCAAAAACCAGCAATGGGTGCTGAAACTAGTGGGTAAAAGTTGGATGAGGAAGAGGATAATTGCACATTCTAAAAATGTCTTCCCACAATTACTTATCAACTGCAAAGGGAAAAGCAGAAAAACTTAGCAAATGCCACCTTAACCTTGGCATCAGAGGCAACACAAGCCCCATCCAACCCAACAGGAAATGCGGGGGGCCTACCTTTCAGGTACATTCAGCCACATTGCTGCCATCCCTGCAGAACAGGTTACAATTTGCTCACCAAAGATATCCCAGCTTCCCCTTGTCCACCTGGAGACCACAGCGGGCACAGCAGGCAGGAAGATCCTGTTGGAAGAGTCAGGGTTGGGGTGTTCAGTGCAGGGGCAGAGACATGCTACTTAGGACACCTGTGTCCCGTGTTGGGTGTCTGAGCTCCGGGGCTGGCCCTGATTCCTACTCCAGCTGGCCTGGATAGCAGAAGGTGATGGATATGAGACAGAGACCCAGGTGAAGTTCCCCCAGGATCGTAGATTCAGCCTGGCCCAGCCATGGCTCTTTGCAGGCATTTGGGGAGTGAATCAGCAGATGGAACATTTTTCTCTCTGTGCCTTTTAAATGAAATGAAAACAACCAATAACAATTGTTTCAGAAGGTGAGTCAGACAATGCCACTTATGAACAAAACCTCCTCCTGTCCCTGCCTCACTGAGGACCAACGCCCACGTCCTCACAATGGCTGCAGGCCCTCTGGAACCAGGCCCTGTGTCTGCAGCCTCTCACCACGGTGGCCCCTGCTTATTCTGCATTGACCACTGCGCTGCTTCGTGAATGTGTCTGACGTGAGTCTCAGAGGCTCGGTCCTTGCTGCCTGCCTGCCTGGGACAATCCCCCTCCAGGGGCTTGGAGAGCTTGCTCCCTCTTCTTCTTCTTGAAATCCCGAATCAGAGGCCATCTCTCCAATGCAGCCTTGCCCCGACACTATGGAAAATCCAAGCTTCGGTTGTCCTCATGGTGTGACTGTTGTGAGCAGCGCTGCAGTCAATGTGGGGGTGCAGGTGTCTCTGGGAGAGGCTGGCTTCATTTCCTCTCGATCTACACCCAGAGGTGGCCTTGCTGGGTCGTCTAGCAGCTGCATTTTCCATCTTTCCAGGAGCTTCCTTCTCCGTGATCCTCCAGGCCAATTTACAGTCCCGCCTGTGGTATTGCTAGGGCTCCCTTCTCTCAGCATTCGGGCCCACGCTTGTCACCCTCTACCCTCTATAAGGCGGATTACTACTCAGCCTTCAAAGAGATCCTGCCAGTCCATTTCAACAGTGTGGGTAAACCTGGAGGACGTCACGGGACAGGGCGTAAGCCAGACACAGAGAAAGAGGAATGAGTGACGTCACCTGTGGCATCTCCCACCGTCAAATCCATAAAGACAAGGGATGGACAGGTCCGCTGGGGCAGCTGCCGCTGTGTTCACGAGGGAGTGTGCATGCCCAGCGTTCCTCAGGACGGCTACAGTTATAACCCCCCAGTTCTGGCAGCTGAGCAAGCCCGGGGCTCCTGGGGGCCTCAGGAGGCCTACACTTCTCCTTATTCTTCTGTAAACTGGGACTCCGAGGAGGGGGGCTCCGGGCGCTCTCACTGCACACACGTGTGCACTCACAAGGCTGTGTGTGTGAAGATGGATTCACCTTGGTTGCAGTAACCACCTCGCTCTGCACGGGTACATGAAAATATCACACTGTGCACCTTGGTTTACAGGCGATGGATTCTGCATCCGTATCCTCCCCAACCCAGGGTGAAAATACGTGGAAAACCATGCACCCAGGCTGGCCACGCACAGACTCCTTGCTTGTCCTGTTCCCTACACAACACAGTGTGACGCCTCACAGCAGAGTCCTCACAGAGTATCAGGTGTGACAAGCAGCCTAGAGATGATTTAGGTACGTAGGAGGAGGCACACGCTCTCTATGCAAGTACTGCGCCATTTTATTTAAGGGAATGAACACCCATGGATTTCTGATACGCACAGGGGGTCCCGAAACCGATCGCCCAGGGATACCAAGAGACAACTGTTTATGATTGCTATGAATAAAGAATTAATGAGTGAGTACATAAAAATAAAGTCACAACTTGCCTGCCACCATCTGGGGAGCTCTGTAGTCTCCCTGTTTGATTTCCTCTGTACCTGCGCATCTAACACACCACGCGATTAGTCATCGCCTTTGCGAATCGTCTGGATCCCACACTAGCAATTCACCCAGGAGAAACAGATCCCCAGCCCACAGAACATAGCAGACGCCCAACACAGACATGCTGACTCTCGGGTGAACGTAGGTACGGTGACGGCCTGTGCTGGCACGGGGTGGGATAGGGAAACGCTCCACTGAACTGAACACCGCATTTGCCATGGTCCCCAGCCAGCTCTACAGAACCTGGAAGGCACAGCGGGAACGGCAGCATGCAGGGCTGGGGCTCAGGAACCGCCTGCAGGTGGGAGGGAGGGTCTCGGAGAGCGAGTCCAGCCAGACCAGAGGGGTTTGCTGGCTTCCAGGGTCCTTCCTGTTAGTAGTCTCCTCTGTCCAGCCTCTCCCACCTGCCTTAGCCAGACTCCCTGAATAGCCGGCATGCTCAGACCAGGACACAGGAGTTCTCCTCCACCCGTGACCCATGACCTTCCTTTGGGGGCCATCAACTTCCGGGTATGCAGGGTCCAAGAGAGCTATGGGATGGAGAGCAGCAGCGGCCTGGAAGCCTCAGGCCAGAGGCAGGCCCTGCAGCACCAGCACCTTGCAGGGTGCAATGCACAGTGAATAGAGAGGTAACCTGTAGGGACCATGCGCTTGATTTTTCAAATTTTAATTATGTATGCTTTATTTGAAAGGCAGAGAGATTTTTTTTCCGTCTACTGATTCACTGGCCAAATGCCCTTTACAGCCAGGGCTGGGCCAGGCCAAAGCCAGGAGTCTGGAACTCCGTATGGGTTTCCTCGTGGGTGACAGGGACCCAAGCACTTGAGCCATCCCCTGTAGCCTCCCAGGGTCTGCAATAGCAGGAAGCTGGATGGGAAGCGGAGGAACCAGGACTTGAATTAGGCACTGGGATATGGGACACCAGTGTCCCAAGCAGGATCTTCATTACTGCACCAAATGCCCATCCTATGTGAATTTTTTTAATAGAGAAGACTTGTGAATTCTCTCTCTGGGGCTGGCTCTATGGCAGGTTGTGGGTTAAGCCTCTGCCTGCAGTGCCGGCATCCCATATCAGAGCCCTGATTCACGTCCCGGCTGCTCCACTTCCACTCCAGCTCCCTGCTAATGCGCCTGGGAAAGCAGAAGATGGTACAAGTCCTTGTGCCCCTACCACTCACACGGAAGACCTGGAACACGCTCCAGGCTCCTGGCTTTGGCCTTGCCCAGCCCCAGCTGTTGTGGTCATTTGGAGAGTGAACCAGCAGATGGAAGATCTCCCTCCCCCCTTTCCCTGTAACTCTTTCAAATAAATAAAATAAATCTAAAAAAAAAAAAAAAAGGCAAGCCCAATTTGGAGTTCCTCGGCAGCTGGGTTCCTAACACTTTGTAACAACGTGCAAAGAGCTGGCGTGTCTCTCACAAGAATCCGCAGACAACAGCCACCATGGCTGAGCGGTCGCTGAAGTGGCCTTCCTGCTCTGACGCCCTAGGAAACCAGTACCAGTACCCCCACGCGGACTGAAAGCAGAGAGGACAAAGAAACCACAAGCCACACCCCGACTCTTTCGCCAGGACGAACGACACTTGTACTTTGATTTTTACTTCCAATTCCATAATTTCTGGGTAAAAATAAATAAGGCACAACGTCTGTGCCTCCGGCCTGACGGAACGTTTTTTGAGAAGATAGGTGTGCAGATTCTGTCCCAGTTGCTCCTCTTCCAGTCCAGCTCTCTGCTGTGGTCAGGGAGTGCAGTGGAGGATGGCCCAAGTGCTTGGGCCCTGCACCCACATGGGAGACCAGGAGAAGCACCTGGCTCCTGCCTTCAGATCAGCGCGATGCACAAGGGCCGTAGCACCATTTGGGGGCTGAACCAACGGAAGGAAGACTTTTCTCTCTGTCTCTCTCTCTCACTGTCTAACTCTGCCTGTCAAAAAAGAAAAGAAAAGAAGAAAAGACTGGCTAGAGAGCTCAAGGCCTCAGGTAGCTCTGGACCCAGGGCTTCCATTTGGAAACCCCTCAGGGCCAGCAAAAGGAGAGAGACACCCACAGCTCTGTCTATGGGAAAGATCAATGCCTTGCAGGCGGGCGGGGAGCCAGGATCACGGCCCCTGCCGGCTGCACGGGGAACCCCGCGCACCCTCCCAGCCCCACCTTGCACCTGCTGGAAACCGGAGAACTCCGGCTTCTTTGGGTCTGGCAGTCTTCTCCAGCCCTGGACTTGGAGGCGTGAGACCGCGGAGCAGCCAGCCAGGGCCAGGGTGTGGGAGGCGAGGCATTTCGACAGCTGCTTCTGCTTGGGGGGTGTGGGGGCGGGCGGCCATGTCAGCTGTGAGAGCGGCGATCCTTCGGTCTTGGTTTGTGTCCTGCTAACCTTGCGAGATGGCTGCGTGACAGGGGGCCTTTGCGGCGCTGTCTGGGGAGTCGGTGAATGAGTCGCTCATTAGGGCACTGACTTAATTAAGGACTTGGGGGGCGGCATCTTTTTCCTGGAGGGAAGGGCATGGGATGCTGCCGGTGAGCACCGGGACAGCCCCTCGGCGCCCCTTCCAGCTTTGGTGGGGGACTCTTTCCCTCCAGGCAGCCACACCAGGGTCACATCTGCCCAGCCTGGACTCCCCCCAGCTCCGCTGCTGCTTCAATGCAGAACCTCGCCGGCCCCGCCCCCTTCCATGGTTCATTCAGACCTCGGTGAGGCTGGGGGCTGCCCAGGGCGGCACAGCCCCAAGGGCAAGGCTAACACGGAAAGTCTGGGCTTCTGTCTGGAAACCCAGGGCTCTTCCCATGGCGCTGCCCTTTCCTCCAACCAGGGACAATCACTTTAAGGTTCAAGTGCGTTATCACATCAATAGGAGAGGGGTGGGCACTTCCCACTCATCCCTCCATAGGTTGTCCACGCCCAAGGCGGCGCTAGTGGATTCTAACGTGGGGAGTGGTTTCCAGGCAAGAAAGAAGAGGAGGAGGAAGAGAAAAATGACAATGTCGGTGGCACCACGTCACAGAGCTAAGCGATGTAGCACATTTTCAAACTGACCCTCTGAGCCACCTCGGGTCTCAGCGATACAGTCATCACCATTTGCAGACGGAAAAGCTGAGGCTGGGTTAAATACCATACCCTAGGCCCCAAAGCCAGTATGCGGCCACCCCGGGGGTTCACAGGGGTCAGGGTGCACCAGACAATACCAGCTTCGCACGGGTGGCAGGAAGGGCCTTGGGCGTCTCGGTCACCCCACACAAGCAGCTGCCCTTCTCTGGCTGTGGCCAGCAGAGGTCTTGGCCAGTACTGCCACTTTAGAGGTGTAAAGGACAGCTGTGGTCTGTCCTCATCACCAGCTCAGAGAACGGAGATCTACTCTCACGTCCCCTCCTCTGGACACGTGGACAGCACTGGGCTCAGAGTTGAAGCAACAGGCCCCGGTGCCCAAGTCACATGGGGGTCCCACTGCTGTCCCCTTGGCCTCTGCTGCCGACCAGTCTCCCTTCCACCCCCAGCCGCGACAGTGAGAGTGACCCGGCTCACTAGATAATTAGAACCCATTTGGATTGATTATTTGATCGATGGATTGAGTCCCGCTTCCTTCTGGCTGAGACTTGAATGAGAATCTGCTCGACGCACGCTCCGAAGCCCCTGCGAGGCTCGCTGCCCAGGAACTGGGCGAGACGTCAGTGTCGGTGCACACCTTGTGGATGGCGCTGCCGGCAGCCCGTGCCGTGGGCAGTGGGCTCTGCATGGGGTCTCTGTTCCCGGCTCATCTTGTGTGCTGTCAAGGGATGACACGGAACCTCCAGCTCTGAAAATGACTTCCTGCTGAGACAGGAAGCCGCCCGGTGCCTGTAGAAAGTCCCAGCTGCCCCTGCTGGTGGGAGGGATTCCCAGAAGTGACCAAAACACACCCTCTCCCACACCTCCCTTTCCATGTGACTTGATGTTAATTTTTAACAATATATTTATTTGAAAAAGGCAGAGAGAAAAGTGATCTTCTAGCCACTGGTTTACTCTTTCAGTGCCCACAACAGCCAGGGCTGGACCAGGACAAAGCCAGAGCCCAGGACACCTTCCAGGTCTCCCACATGGGCAGCTGGCGTCTAAGCACTTGACCCTTCATGGCTGCCTCCCTGGGTATGACGTGTAGGGAGCTGGAGTGGGGAGAGGAGCCCTGACTGGAGCCCAGGCACTTGGGTATGCGCTGCAAGCATCCCACTACCATGTCAAATGCCGCCCCCACACTAGAGGTTGTTTTACAGCTCTGTCTTCCTCGTGATACAAACCTCTCCCTTATAGCCATGAGCCCCTGCAAAGCAAAGCCGCCTGGCACCCTCGCTCACCCGTAAGAGTCAGAGGCCCCAGACCGACTCAGGCATGTCATGGGAAATGTGGAAAATTCTCCACACCCACCCTGACACCCACACAGAGCCCAGGAATGCCGTGTCTCCAGCCACACTCGCTTCCCGGGATGCCTTGCTGCCTTCTCTGTGGTGGCCGGGAGCCGCGCCCTTTCCTGGGAGAGAGGAGCAGATGGATGGGCGTGCCCCGCCCAGGCCCCCTCCGGAGCAGGGCGCTTTCCCAGCCACGGCCTCGCTGCTCCCTCGCAGAACCGGCTCCCTTCATCCCTGCAGGAAGGAGTCACGTCTCACCCGCACTTTGCATGCTCAGATGGACTAAGCAACTGGTCCCGGGTCCCACAGCTGGAAAGCAGAACCAGGCTCCACCCCCCTCCGCCAGGAGGCCCTTCTTAAACTTCAAGCCCGGAAAATCATCTTGCCACACACATCTTGCTGCTGCCACGTGCCCCACACTTGGGGTGTTGAGTGAACGGATAGATGAATGAGTGCTGTTTTCTCATTAACACTCTCCGTGCCACAAGCCCTCGGTCAATCCCCCCATCGAGCCACTGGTCCGTTCCCCTGTTCTTCGCACGCCTCACCAGTAGAGACCTACTCTGTGCACCCCTGCACCTCCCTTTGTTCTTTTCCACCCTCCAACACAGACACAGACAGAAACAGTCAAGATCAGTTTTCCCGAAATTCACCCGTTCATTCATTTGAAAAACTTATTCAGCCCATTGTCAGGTGCTAGAGATGACAGAAGTAACCAAACTCCCTGTCCCCCCACCCCTGTGCCCTTCACTGTGCTCCCCCGTATCTGGGGTTGAGGAGGGGGTTGCTTCCAGGACCCCTGTGGAGCCAAAAGCCCTGGATGCTCAAGTCCCTGATGTCAGATAGCATGGTGTTGGGGCCAGCAACGTGGCACAGAGAGTCAAGCCGCCTCCTGGGCCAGCACCTCCCCCTCAATCCATTTCCCTGCTGGTGCACCTGGGAAAGCAGCAGGTGACGGCTCAAGTGCTGGGGCCCCCGCCACCCACCCACATGGGAGACCCAGGTGGAGCTCCTGGCCTCCGGCTTTGGCCCTGGCCCAGCCCGGGCCATTGCGGCCATCTGGGGAGTGAGCCAGTGGATGGAATATCTCTCTCTCTCTCTCTCTCTCTGTCAACTTCTCCCTCTTTCTCTAAAACTCTGCTTTTCAAGTAAACAAATAAATTTTTTATAAAAGGATAGTGTTTGCAATAACCTATATATGTCTTCCCATATACTCTAAATAATGTCTAGGCCGGCGCTGCGGCTCAATAGGCTAATCCTCCGCCTGCAGCGCCGGCACACCGGGTTCTAGTCCCGGTCACTCCTCTTCCTGTCCAGCTCTCTGCTGTGGCCTGGGAAGGCAGTAGAGGATGGTCCAAGTGCTTGGGCCCTGCACCCCATGGGAGACCAGGAAAAGCACCTGGCTCCTGGCTTCAGATCAGCGCGATGCACCGGCCACAGCAGCCATTGGGGGGAGAACCAACGGAAAAGGAAGACCTTTCTCTCTCTCTCTCTCACTGTCCACTCTGCCTGTCAAAAAAATAAATAAATAAATAATAAATAATCTCTAGATTACTTCTAATATCTAATGCAGTGAAAACACTAAGGAACTACCCGTTACATTGTATTGTTAAGGGGCTATGAGAAGAATAGAAGTTTATACCTGATCAGGACAGAGTTTGTTTTCCTCAAATATTTTGATTGATCTGTAGTTGGCTGAATCGATAGATGGGGAATCCACAGACACAGACAGCTGGCTGTATATTCCTAGTAGTACAGGGGAAAAATTATATATATGCATAAGTCCATATATAATATATCACATCAACATTCTATATACTAGTATCTAACCTGCCATTATATATAGTTTAATAGTGCTGCATCTGTATATTAATATTATATATTTATATTAATTTATATCTTTATTATATATTTATATTAATTAGCCTATTAGATTAATTTATAGGTCATTAATATCTCATAGGTCATGGTATAATTTTCTCAATAGATTATATAATGAATTGTATATATTAGATGTTATATCAATATATAATAGATTAATACATTATAGCATAGTATACTATAATAGATTAGTAGGTTAAGTAGCATTTTACATTTTTGCATTTTTATATTTATATATTTATATTTATTTGATTTAATTTAATCTATTGAATAGTCATTAATATTGTGTCTTTATATTAATAATATTATTTTTTAAAATCTCTGGTAGTGGAAAAGTACAAGGCAAGGCAAAATGGATGGGGCAGAGGCAGGGGCGTGGCCCTTGGTGTGGGCTGAGGGGAAACCTGAGGGAAGCGGGGCGGGGCTAAGCCCGCCTGGGGCGCCTGCTGTAGGCAGGGGAAGCAGAGGCCAGCGCCTCCCAGGGAGGAGGCCGGGAGCTGGGGCAGAGCATGGCAGGTGAGGCCAAGGATCAGCCGGCCACGGTGAAGTCTGGCTTTCATCAGCCCGGGCTGCTGCGCCGCTGGGGAGCTGCTGGCCGACCCGAGAGAAGCAGAAACGCTCGCCTGCCTGCCCAGTGGAAAACAGAGCGCAAGCAGGCCCAGGCCGGGAATGGGAAGCTTTGCACCGCTTCTGCAAGAGGCGGCGTCCAGGAAGATGAGGACCAAGGGCTGCCCCTGGATTTATCCCCGGGAGCCCCGGAGGAGTGCAGGTTTGGGCGGGGCGTGGTGAGCCTGAATGCCGAGCCGCAGCAGCAAGTGCCGAACAGTTCCTCCAGGCGCAGAGGAGCTGGGCACCACGGGAGGGCACGCGGGCCACGGGACAGGGAACAGCAGGACGTTTGCCGATGAGCGCGACCTGGTAGAGAATGGGCACAGTGATGCCGCAGGGAGCAGGGAGACAGAGCAGAGAGACGGAGTCCACACCAGCCACCCTAGATGCTTGGCAGTACGGGAGGGAGGCAGGTGTGGGCCGTGGTGGGGATTTGAAGATGTCTTCTTGGGGCTGGCGCTGTGGCGCAGTGGGTTAACGCCCTGGCCTGAAGCGCCGGCATCCCATATGGGTGCCGGTTCGAGACCTCGCTGCTTCACTTCCCATCCAGCTCTCTGCTATGGCCTGGGAAAGCAGTAGAAGATGGCCCAAGGACGTGGGAGACCCAGAGGAAGCTCCTGGCTCCTGGCTTCAGATCAGCTCAGCTTTGGCCATTACTGCCAGTTGGGGAGTGAACCATCAAATGGAAGACCTCTCTCTCTGTCTCTGCCTCTCCTCTCTCTGTGTAACTCTGACTTTCAAATAAATACATAAATCTTCTTCTATTTCCTCAATGGATTAGAAAATAAGGCCCCACGCACGTGCAGGCAAAATCAACAGAGAGCAAAGATGAAGACAGGATGTGGGTATTTCCAGCAAGAAGTGAGGAGCTCCTCCAGGAGAGAGGGTGCAGGCCCACGGAGTCCCAGCAGATTCCCGGGCATGCCGAGGTCCCACTTCATGTTAGGGTCCTGCCTTGGAAAGGCGACCGATCAGACTGGCTGTGTGTTTTTCTCCAGCCGTGTTCCACTGGCAGGCCCAAGTGACAAACGTGGAGGGCTGTGTGTGGCTGGAGCGGACAGGGGAGACCGCATGTGGAGAGTGCACAGTGGAGGGGTGCAGGCGAGTGATTGTAACGCCAGGTCACGGGATCTGAGTCAGGTAGGCAGGGCAGGGCAGGCACGTGTGGGACGAGGGGTAGTCAAGGCAGCATGCAGTCCCTGGAGTGAGGAGTGGGATCAGAAAGTCGGGATGCTGGAGATTAGAGGAAGTGAACTGGAAAGCCAGGAGAACGGGCCAGGTGGAGGCCGCCTTAGCCTCAGCCTGCAAGGGAAGGTGCCTGCCGGGCTCTTACGGCTCCTGTCACAGGTTCTCACAGTTCCCACGACGCACTCTTTCATAGCTCTGGAGGCCGCATGTCTGAACAGGTCCCAGGGGCTGCAGTCAAGGTGTGGGCAGGGCCGCGCCCCCTCTGGAAGCTCTGGGGAAGAACCCTCTTCCTGGCTCTGTCCAGCACAGAGGTCCCCCGCTTCCCTGGCCCAGGCACCCGTCCTCCTCTGCCTTCAAGGCAGCAGCAGGGGGTGGAGAACCCTGAGCCTGGTTCTGTTCTTCTGTTTCTGTTCTCCGCCTCTCTGGACTGGGGTCGTTTACTGGATCCACCCACACAATCCACAGTGTGCTCCTCACTGAAGACCAGCTGGTGAGCAATCCTAGTCGCATCTGCAAACTGAATTCCTCCCTACCGCATAGTGTGACATAGAATCGGGGGGTTAGAATGTAGAATGTAGACTCTGGGGGATTCAGTCTTCTGTCTCCGACAGGAGGGATGTTGTGATCAGTAAAGACAAGGTGGAGGTGTGACCATGCAGTGGGTGGGTAGAAGACACAACCATTTGAAGATCGAAGGTCCAGGAAGAGACATCTGCAAGCATATTGGAGGCACCAAGAATTATCACAGGAAGAGCACTGGAGAGAGCGATAACGAATCAGGAGACCAGGATGGCCGAGGAATCGAAAGTAGTATCCAGGGCAGGTACAGTTTTCACTGATAAGCTCCTGGGCACCAGTCGGTACTGGAAGTGAATGAAGTTGGACTCAAGGTAGAAGACATTCACCCAGTTCTGCTCCTAGAGAAGTTTCTGGAAAAGTTAACAGAGATGACAAGAAATGCTCAAAACAAAGAGTTCTCTCCTTGCCGGTCTCAAATGGAGCTATCAGAACCATAAGGTATTGTTCCACACTTTTCAAAATGTGTAAGCAGCTGTCATCCTGTGAACGCTTATAGCAACGATGACACAGAACCATGATTTCCCCTTTTCTACAGACTGGAAAACAAAGGATTAAGTGACAGCAAACAAGTGGGAGCATCAGGTCTGTCCTGTGCTCACTCAGTCGCTTTGCTGAGTATCAGAGACTGTGGGAAACACAATAAAGTATATTACAGAGTAACTTTCCTCTGGGAGACTGACGCTTGGGTCAAAAATCCCATTGGGAGTCAGATGCACGACAAGGATTTCTGCCCCTTAAAAGGCATAAAGAGTCATACACAAAATGTGACACGTGATTTCACGACACCTATGACCCCCTGAAGTCCTAAGGGACCTACGCATTCCGGGGTGAGGGCCTCTTGTCCACCTGCTGAGATAAAACTGTGGATGGTAGAAACTGACTCAGGATGCAAGGTGCAAGAGAGGGTGTAATTAGGTGTGAAGTGAATGATGCAGAAAATTGTAGTCGTGAATACAGAAGAGCTATACCGCCCCAGCCTCGGCAACAATTATGGAAATGCTGTAGAGAATCTTGAAGAATGGAGTGATTGTGTGAGAAAGAGGAGATATGATGAGATCCCAGGTAGGAAGAAGAGCGGCTGAGAATTAGCGAGGCATGTTTGCGAGATGATGTCTAGGCCAGATTGTCTGTGAAATGAGGCCAAAAAATATAAAAGAATCAAGGCTCTAAGTGAAATGCTTCCTCCCCAAAATATTATTAATATGGTAGATGGTTTTGTTTCAGGAGGCACAGTGTGTAAAACTCATTACTGTGATGGATTCAATAAGAATTCTGACTTTCTGCTAAACATCTTTGAAAGCTTCCTCTCTCTCTAAAACACTGAAACAGGAAAAAAAAAAAGCACATGTCTCATTTCTGAGAGCGTTCTCATCAGATCAGAGAGCAGATTCTTGAATCTTGGCATTTTTTGATTTTTATGCATTTTAATTCCCTAGGAAAATGGATTTATGAAGGAAAAAACAAAAGTCTTTCTTTTTGACTAGCATGAGACGTTCTTCTGTTCTTTCAAAAGTTGGTGTGGGATCCTAAAGCCATCCTCTGATCGTCTTTCTCCCAACCTACTTTTGTTCTCTATAAAATACGAGCTGTCACAGGGAAGGAGCTGAGTCAAAATGTCAATACGTTGTGGCTATTTTGACAGCATTAGAAGAGAGTCGAATGTTTCAGGAACACTTAATGTTAAATGGAAAACAGATGAATGGCGGTAAATCGTTCTGTCCATAGTCCTGAGTTGCCACACTGGAATCTAAATCCGAGACGTTATAGGGAAAATCCTGAGCACGCCTCATCAAAGGCCCGAGTTGTACCACGATGAGATCCAGGCTAGGAATGTGGACCCGGGAGAGAGCCTCTAAATCAGATTTTCCTGAGCTGAACTGCCCTTGGCCACGCATTTACAGGGAATAATTAACATTGCAGAATCACCGGATGGTAGACCTGGAAGGGATTTCGTTATCCACAAGTCTAACTCCCTAATGGATGCTCCAATGTCTTGCCCAACATCCCTGTCTCTTCTCTGAATAAATTTAATCTGGAGATGGGCTCAGTCCATGGTGGGCTGTGGAAGACTCCAACTGAGTTCTTTCTGTCTCTCTGTCATTTGAATACATAAATTTTTAAATAATAATAACATAGTGAAATAATTTGGAGGTGGTGAATTGAAACATTTTACCTTTCTAGAAATATAATTTAGATGAAAATATTACAGGAGTTAACTTCTCATAATGGTCTACAGAATAAATTTGCTCCCATGAGCCAGTACATGCTGGCTTAGGCCCACCACTAGCAGTCCTGGAAAATGACCTTGGACCTCCCCTTCCCATGAAGGCAAACCCCTCGCAGGTCTCCAGCAATGGTAACCCCCTGAGTCACCACCCACGCATTCAGTATGTCTAAGCCAGGCCCATCTTCCCCACTGTGCTTCCATTTCTCTGTAGTTCTTCCAACAAGCACCATTCACAGAAATACACTCCAGATGGATTAATGATATAAATGTGAAAATAAAAGAACCATTCCAGCACTAGGAGAAACAGAGACAGCTATTTTTATAAAACCGGGGCAGAAGAGACCCATTAAGCACAACATGAAATCCAGAAATCAGGAAGAAAGGAAAAAAAAAATCAACAGGCTCAATTTAATCATCAAAAGCTTTTGCATAAGAAAATATTTCATTATAAACAAAAGAAAAGAAAAATCTCAGAATGAGAGAAAATATTAAGTATCCGCCTCATAGACTAGTAGCTGTAGACCATATAAAAGCTCTTATAAAACAAAAACAAAAAGACAAATGAAGCAGTAAAAGAAGGCTCTAGGATATGAACAAATGATTGCTGGCAGGACCATAAATGACAGTAAATACGTGAATAGACACCCTAAGATATACAGAATGAGAGGATGAAATATCTATCTCACGCCACATATTACAAGTATCCAAATGTTTGGAGAAGCAGTGGGCAAACACATTTGTGCACAGTCAGGAGAGGAATAAATCAGTATGACCTATTTGAAGTGGGAAAAGAGCAATATTTAAAAAAACAGAGATAAACTAAAATGCACATATCCATTGAACCCGCAATTCTGTTACTCAATTAAACTTTAAAAAATTTTTTTAAAGATTTGCTTATTTATTTGAGAGGCAGAGTTACAGACAGACAGAAAGGTCTTCCATCTGCTGGTTCACTCCCCAAATGGCTACAATGGCCAGGGTTGCGCCAATCCGAAGCCAGGAGCCAAGAGCTTCTTCTGGGTCTCCCACATACAGGGGCCCAAGGAATTGGACCATCTTCTGCTGCTTTCCCAGACCATCAGCAGGGCTCTGGACCGGAAGAAGAGCGTCCAGGACACGAACCAGTGCCCATATGGGGTGCCAGCACCAAAGGTGGAAGTTTAGCCTACCACGCCACAGTGCCAGCCCCATTTATTTATTTTTTGAAAGGCAAAGAGACAGATTAGAGATCTCCTACCTGCTGCTTCACTTTGGCCTGATGGAGGTCTAGGTTCCCACCTCTGGCCTGGCCGAGCCCTGGGGGATGTGGACATTTGGGGAGTGAACCAGCAATCCACAGCTCTGCCTGTCTCTCCTTACCTCTCTGCCTTGCAAATTAATTAATTAACTAATTCAAAAGGATGTGTGCATATATGTTTGTAAATCACAGCTTTCTCTGGAAACAAAACTGTGGGGAGCCATGGTCTTTGAGTGGAAAGACTGGAGGTTAAAATAGGCAAGCTGTTTACTTTGTTATACTTCAAAAATGTCCATCATCACCTTCGCTTACAGAATAGTAAACTGTATTTTTTTAGTTTTTTCACGGTCTTAGTTGGGGTCTCCGGAAACAGCCCTTGAGACGAGGCTTTAACTGCAAGGGTTTATTTGGGAGGGATTCTCAGAAAGGTCAGGGGCTTAAGGAAGGGGCGGAAGTGAATGATGGGTGTGCTGTCAATCAAGTTATCACCATGGGCAACGGGAAAGGCTGGGATCCTGCGTGGCACAGGCGGTCAGAGTTAACTCACCAATGAACGCAGAGGAGCTCAGGTCGTTAGCCAGTAACTCCTGTGGGCTCGGACAGCACTCGTTCCATGGCTCCTGAACAGACAGAACAAGCTCTGCTGGCCAGAAAAAGCCTTAGGCCAAAGACCTGGGACAGAAGCAGATGGGAGGAGGTGAACGGCAGGGTGGGGTGGGGTGGGGTGGGTCTCTGCACACCTGCTGCAGAGACCATCCCCCTAGGACCACATTCTAACAAACTAACACCGTGCGCTTACCTGTTGTCCTAGCAATTTCATGTTTGGGACTCTCACTCACGATGTGCTAACACCTGTGGTTGCAAAATTGCTTCTAACACAGCAGAGCTTAAAGCAAAAAGCAACTCAAATGTGAACCAGTAGGGAAGGGTTTGGGGCATCATGCTGCAGCCTGTGTCTACAGCCAGAAAAACAACAACAGCAATGAGGTATGTCTTGATTAACTTCCACGGAATAAAGAAAACTCTCTGACTGCCTGGTGGGGCTCCCGTTCTGCGGGGGCAGACCCGCAGACAGGTGCAGTGCATCAAGTGGTGATCAAGGCTGTGGAGGAGAAGGGAGGCGGGTGCAGGAGACAGATTGCCATGATTTATAGGATGGTCTCGGATAAAGTGAGCCGAGGCCGGACAAGTCGGGAGAAAAGGTGGTGAATATCTGGGCAGTCGGCTTTCCCGGGAGGCGGAAGAGTGACAGCCGGGTTCTGAGGTACGCGTGTGCCTCCGTGAGACAGAGCCAGGAGACCAGCATGGCTGCAGGAGCCAGGTGAGCGAGGGGTGAGAGGTGGGCAGGGAGACGCCGTGGGCATGGGGTGGGGCAGGCGGGAGCCCCAGTGGGTTGGGAAGGTGGAGAGCTTCTGAGATGTGCAGGGGTTGCGGATGAAGCGGGGCTGAGTGTTTTTGGGTGGCCGCTGTTGCTTGTGTGGACAGTGCAGTAGGGAGTGGAGAGGGAGGGAGGGGGGATCCTATGAGGTTTTCCTTGCAGTGACAGGAGAGAGAAGCCCAAAGGAGCAACTGTGGCAAGTGCTCAAAAGCCAGCAGAACCCGACCATCCTCAGCTCTCAGGCTGCCCAGGATGGAGCCTGCAACCCCTTGCCCAGGCACATCCCTTTCTACCTGTCACTCCCACGCATGCTGCAGCTGTGCCCAATCATTGCCCTTGCCCTGCTCGGCTGCCTGGAGAACTCCTGGTCATCCTTTGAAACCCTGGCTAGGGCATCACCACTTCTGAGTGGCCCAATGCTACAGCTCAAATGAATCGCTCGCTTCTCTGCGCCACTCCCAGCCTCACACACAGTCTAGTGCACATCTTTACAACCAGTGTCAGCTAGCACATGGCACATGGTAAACGGGTTGTGGCTGTATCCTTCCTTAGGCCTCAAGTTGCCCATGTGGGGCCAGGGGCAGCTGGTGCCAGGCTGCTGGCTGGAGGCCAGGAACAGCAGATCCACTTACAGCTCAGCACCGTGCTAGTACAAGGGGACTTGGAAAAAAAAAAAAAAACTGGCAAAAGATGGAATTAAAAAATGAGTTTATTTTGGTGCACAAAAAAGCTGAAATCCATGCATATGAGAGGTCTTCAAATGCTGAGGGGAAAATGTATTATGAAAAAACTGCAAAGATTTCAACACATTTTGCACCAAAATAAAGTTATCTTTTTTGGGGAGAAGATTTATCCTATTTATTTGAACGGCAGAGTGACAGAGAAAGAGAGAGACACAGAGATCTTTCATCTGCTGGTTCAGTCCCCAGACGGCTGCAACAGCTAGGTCTGTATCAGTCGGAAGCCAGGAGCCAGGAACTCCATCCAGATCTCATATGTACGTGGCAGGGGCCCAAACACTTGGGCCAACTCTCGCTCTTTCCCAGGTACACAGGAGGCAGAGCAGCTGGAACTTGAACCAGTGCTCCTAGGGGATGCTGGCATTGCAGGTGGCGGCTTAGCGTCCTGCACCACAGCGCCAGCCCCTGACATTGTGCTGCAATTCTGCTTTTCCGGTGATGTTTTGAAGCCCCCTAAGACGAGTATTTTCTCTGAGTGCTGCGCTCTGAATGGAAAAGAGGCACACGCTCTGCTAGGCGGACAGGATGCGAGGCTGGAATGATTCTGGTCTCCATTTCAACCGAGGCCCCCAGGAGATAGAAAGAACATTCCAAAGCAAGATGCAAGGTTTGCAAAAAGAGCTCATGAAAACCAGTTTTGTATCCTGAGCCAACCACCCACCTCCAGACTATAAAAGATGAGAGAGAGAGAGAGAGAGAGCGAGAAAAGAACTGACATTTACAGTGGGCATTTGGAGAGAACACTGTGCTGGGGGCCTCACCTGGGGGAACAGGGTCCCATGATGGCCTCAAGCCAAGGCTGCCCCGTGCCTCCTGCAGTGGGGAGGACTAAGGGCTGCCACCGGCTGAGGACTCTGACGAGGACAGCCTGGCCAGGCTGCTCTCTGCTCTGCTGGCCTGGGCTCTGCTTGCACCCAGGGTTGGCAGCAAGTGACTTGTGGTGCTTGCCATGGGAAAGAGAGAGCAAGCCGGCGCTGCGGCTCACTAGGCTAATCCTCCGCCTTGCGGCGCCGGCACACCGGGTTCTAGTCCCAGTCGGGGCGCCGGATTCTGTCCTGGTTGCCCCTCTTCCAGGCCAGCTCTCTGCTGTGGCCAGGGAGTGCAGTGGAGGATGGCCCAGGTGCTTGGGCCCTGCACCCCATGGGAGACCAGGAAAAGCATCTGGCTCCCGGCTCCTGCCATCGGATCAGTGCGGTGCGCCGGCCGCGGCGGCCATTGGAGGGTGAACCAACGGCAAAAGGAAGACCTTTCTCTCTGTCATTCTCTCTCTCTCACTGTCCACTCTGCCTGTCAAAAAAAAAAAAAAAAAAGAGAGAAAGAGAGAGCAGCAGAGCCGAGCAGGGAGATGGGCAGGCCCAACAGGAAGGGCCTTGAGATGCTCAGGGGCCGAGCACAGAGCTGTGAGCAGCCAGAGGTCCTGCCTACCGTGCATCCCCAGTGCCCGGGGGCAGGGCGGGGGGCGGGGGCACATCCCGAGGAGCAAGGTCACGCTGGGGAGGAGGCACTGGGGGGTCTCACAGACCTGTGGATCAGCACCACAGGGATGGAGACCTCCAGTGAAAATACCCCCTCTGCTGGAGGAGGAGTCAGAGGCCACACAGGGCAGGTGCTTCGCAGCCGCCATTGGCCTGAGCTCAGTGTGAGGGGAGGTGGAGGCAGGAGTTTGCCTTTGAACTGAAGCCTGAAGCTTCTGATCGTGACCCTCGATTCCACCCACTGCTCACTGAAACGAGCTGGGGTTTTGAGGTTGAAGTGACTGGGACGTTTCCTTCACCTCTCATCAAATAACCCAGTCCCAGGTGCTGTCAGCGACTACTCTCTGTGGCTTCTTCCTGCAGGAAGCAGGCAGAGGACAAGCTCAGCGGGGGCTGCCTCACGGTTGTGGAAGAGGCACAGGAGGATGGGTCAGGCATCTACAAGGTGTTCTAGAAGCTTCCAAGTGCTTCCTTTGGAGCCTGCCGTGCAGGGATCTGGGCAACCCCGGGGGTGTGCTGGGCATGCTCCCTGCACCATGGGCAGGTGCTTGGTGAAGCTGAGGGCATCGGGAGCCTTTTCTTCTCCCCCAGCACAGGGAGGGTATGGGGGTGACACCTGCCAGGGATGTCCAAGCCCCCAGCAGGATTACAGCTTCCTCCTCCTCCTCCCCCTCTTCCTCCTCTTCTTCCTCCTCTCCTTCTCCCCTGGCCTTTTACTGGCTCTGTGCTCCACACTGGGATAATACAGCAGCTACCTCCACAACATGACACAACTGTGCAGCCCAACTTCAAGGCCACCAAGAAGGTCCTCGGGCCCCTGAGAATCGAATCCTTTCCCTGGGGACGAAGGCTTTGTCCATTCATCAGAGCCAGGGCCCCAGCGGGAGCCAGAGCGGGGCATGTCCCCACCGCTGGGGCAGCTGGGTGAACAGACGCATTGGGAGAGTGATCCCTCGGCTCTGCAGTAGCTGGGTGGGGCCCAGAGACGCTCCAGTCCCGGCCTGGTGTCCCCCGCCCTCCGCCCTCTGGCTCAGGTGCCACACAAGCATTGCCATTTCCAGTGACGGCCGTGCTGTGAGAACAGATGGAGATGCTCATGGGGGGTCATGGGCAGCAGACCCTGCAGCTGAACACCCCAGCCCTGCCTCATACACCCGCCCCTTGCACAGCCGCCCAGCTAGAATCCAGGCTGTGAGTCGGCCTCGGTCACAGGCACCTTGCCACCATGTGAATAATGAAGGAAAGTGTGGCTCTGTCGAATGCCAAGGTTTGGAAGGGTGGGTGTGAGCTCTTTCTGGTGGGTCTGCTTGAGCAAGCACCGTGCTACCCGGCTGCCGCAGGTGCCTCCAGGTCTCTGTCTTCTCCGCTGGCCTCCTTGCCTGGTTTTGCTGATCTGATCAATTACACATTAAGACAAACAGGCCTCTCACATCGTCAGGCCTAGAATGTTCCCAGACCCAGCAAGCTTGGGGCCTGTTTCCAGCAAGATACGGCTGTGCCCCTTTCAGGCTCTGTTTGCCATTTTCATAGTCCTGGAGGAATGGGGGGGCTTGGGTGCCCCAGGAGCAAAACCAGAATCCTATCCGAAGTGTTCTTAAAATGTTCATTTCTCAAGAATGCAAGAACCCTGTTGTGATTCAGGGCCTTGGTGCTAGTCTTCCATCCCGCAAGTCCAGGAGGAAACCTCTCACTCAGGGCCTTGGCCTTGGCCTTGGCCTTGTGCATGCACTTTCTCCCACACGAGCAGTGTCCCGCCACATGGCACAGCTGCCCTGGAGGAGCAGGCCTGGTGGTGAATGCAAATTCCATTGCAGAGGTTCTCCTAGCAACGTGGCAACAATAACAAACCCGCAATAACCTTTTGTCTCGAGCCGTACGAAGCAGCGTGGCCATTCGGCTCACCAGAACACTCACAGGATATTCTGCGAGGGCAGAGAGCTTTCGAGCTGAAGCATTGAAACCGGAGCCCCCCAGTCGCTTTCCTCCTGTCTGCTCTCATCTATCCAGGAAGGCACCAGGTCTGTGCTCCCAGAGCAGGAGGTACCCCAAGAGAACACAGGTTAGGAAAAGATGGGGGCTGGGAAGGTCGTGCTCCTAGCCGTGGTTTGGGGACAACCTGCACACATCGGCCAAGTCACTTTCACTCTTGAAATCTTAGTCTCCTCATCTTCAAAGTCAGGAGTTACTTCTTAACTGTTCACGGTGCTTGCTAAAAACCTGCATTCTTGACTGTAGACAATAGAGAGAGCAGTGTTGCTTTGTCGGGGGGAAGAAAAGCAAACCCAGATTCTTGGGTCTCCATTTGCCCTGCGAATCAGGAGCTCGGGGCTGTGCCCCAGAAATGTGACTTATGACCACGGCAAATGGACAAGTCCACCTGGACAGTTCTGGAAAGGCCTGGGCGACCACTTCCCAACCGTGCTTGCTCAGCCGTAAAGATCACACGCCCCTGAGTGCTGGCCGGGGGTGTGCTTTGTTTTCTCTGATTTTATGTAGGACTAAACCAACCCATTTTCTTTGCTGTTTCGCTTGGGTTTTCCCTATTAAAGACTATGTGCCCCATCAGAAAAACTTATGTGCCTCTAAAACCTACCTATTTTTAAAAAATCTTTATGTGTTTCTTTTTATTTGAAAAGCAGAGAGATAGAGACAAAGAGACAGAGATCTGGCCGGCGCCGCGGCTCACTAGGCTAATCCTCCGCCTAGCGGCGCCGGCACACCGGGTTCTAGTCCCGGTCGGGGCGCCGGATTCTGTCCCGGTTGCCCCTCTTCCAGGCCAGCCCTCTGCTGTGGCCAGGGAGTGCAGTGGAGGATGGCCCAGGTGCTTGGGCCCTGCACCCCATGGGAGACCAGGAAAAGCACCTGGCTCCTGGCTCCTGCCATCGGATCAGCGCGGTGCGCCGGCCGCAGCGCGCCGGCCGCGGCGGCCATTGGAGGGTGAACCCACCGCAAAAGAAGACCTTTCTCTCTGTCTCTCTCTCTTCCTGTCCACACCGCCTATCAAAAAAAAAAAAAAAAAAAAAAAAAAGAGAGAGATCTTCCATCTACTAGTTCATCCCCAAAGGCCTGCAACACAACCAGCTTGGGCCAGGCCAAAGCCAGGAGCAAGGAATTCAATCCAGGTCTCCCAGGGGGTGGCAGGGACCAGGTATTTGAGCCATCTCCTGTTGCCTCACAGGTATGCATCAGCAGGAAGCTGGATCAGAAGCAGAGGAGCTGGGACTTGAACCCTGGCACTCCAGCACGAATGTAGGTACCCTAACAGGCAACCGGAGCGCTGTGCCAAATGTCCGCCCCTATATTTACATCTCTATTTATAAACACACTATGCTTTAACATAGTATGTTAAATATTGGCAGTGTTAATATATTACATACATTCTAAAATACTAATCAAAGTTTTTTAAAGGGAAAATTTGAAATGAGATTTTAAGAATTAAATTGTTTTCACTTTGTGTGTAAAGCAGAGAGAGACAGAGATCTCCTATCCACTGGTTTACTTCCCAAATGCCTGAGCAGCCAGGCCTGGGCCAGGCTGAAGTCAGGAGCCCAGAACTCAATGAGGGCCTCCCACATGGTGGCAGGGACCTGAGCCATCACTGCTACCTCCCAGGGCGCACATTAACAGGAAGCTGGATCAGAAGCAGCTGGAACTCAAACCCAGATACTGCAATATGGGATATGTGTGTCCCAAGTGGCATCTTAACTGCTTTGCCAAAAGCCTACCCCTGATTTTAAGGATTTTATTAGTGGGGGCCAGCGCTGTGGTGTAGTAGGCTAAACCTCCAAATGCAGCACCAGCGTCCCATATGGGTTCCAGTTTGTATCCCAGCTGCTCCTCTTCCAATCCAGCTCTTCGCTTGTGGCCTGGGAAAGCAGTATATTATGGCCCAAGCACTTGGGCCCCACACCTATGTGGGAGACCTGGAGAAAGCTCCTGGCTCCTGGCTTCAGATCAGCCCAGCTCCAGCCATTGCAGCCATCTGGGGAGTGAACCAGCAGATGGAAGACCTCTCTCTCTGTCTCTCCTTCTCACTGGCTGTAACTGTACCTCTCAAATAAATAAAATTAAATGAAAAGACATTTATCAGTGAAAATCTTTAACGCTACGTGATATAGGAAGACCAAACACAATTGCAGCATTTTTTTTATTTTTTGACAGGCAGAGTGGACAGTGAGAGAGAGAGACAGAGAGAAAGGTCTTCCTTTGCCGTTGGTTCACCCTCCAATGGCTGCCGCAGGAGCCAGGTACTTATCCTGGTCTCCCATGGGGTGCAGGGCCCAAGTACTTGGGCCATCCTCCACTGCACTCTCTGGCCACAGCAGAGAACTGGCCTGGAAGAGGGGCAACCGCGACAGAATACGGCCCCCGGACCGGGACTAGAACCCGGTGTGCCGGCGCCGCAAGGCGGAGGATTAGCCTAGTGAGCCGCAGTGCCGGCCTGCAGCATTTATTTTTAATACATTGTTTTTAAATAGTTATAAGCACAGTGCCTCAAAATTTTGTGGAAAGTGGACTAAAAAGATAAATTTATTTTGGTGCAAAAATTTCTAAATCCATGCATGGATTCAAAAGTTTGTGAAAAATGTGTATTACGAATAAACTATGAATGGATTTTAAAATGTTTCTGTAACAAAATAAGTTTATCTTTTAATTCCATTTTCCATTAACTTGTTATTATTTATTTGAAAGACAGAGTGATGGAGGGAGAGACAGTGAGAGAGCGAGAGAGAGATTCCATCTGCTGGGTCACTTCCCAAATGGCCACAATAGCCAGGCTGGACCAGTGAAGCCAGAGCCAGGAACTCCATCTGGGTCTTCCACGTGGGTGCAGGGCCCCAAGCACTTGGGCCATCTTTGATTGCTTTCCCAAGCGCATTAGCAGGGAGCTGGATTGGAAGTGGAGCAGCTGGTTCTTGAACCAGTGTTTGGATAAGGGATGCCGGCGCTGCAAGTGGCTACAGCACAATGCCAGCCCTCTGAAATATTTGCAAGCATCTATTTCCAAAATGTTCTTTCCATAGCATGAATTCCTTTCAAAAGTGATTACTTTCTCACTCAAATTAACGTTATTTCCTCCTCCCTCTTACCTGAAATGGACACATTAAACATATTTTTAAAACTATCTGCTGAGTAGTATATTTGCCACAGGAAAAGTCAGCAAATTTGGGACATTTTGTATTCATAAAAGAATAATGGTTACCTCAAGTTTAATGATGATTTTAAGTGCTTGGCAACGAGATAAATTATAACCTTTTAAGGCCACAAATGATTTTCATCATCATCCCCAATCTCACTGATATCCTATAACATTTTTGTGGATTTCTGATTCAGCTGTTTTGCTACAACGACCTCCAAGGGTTGACACAGCGAGTGACTCCCATGGTGACGGCTGTGCCTGTCCATTTTCCTTGGTGCCTTTTCTTTGTAAATTCTGTCAAAGCGGTCACTCTGTCAGTGGCTCTCCTCATATGGACGCTGCTCCGCTCCCTATCTCTTTTTAATTAACTAAGTCATTTACTGTTGAGAATGTATCTTTTTCAGCACACCTTTTCCTTGGAAGGCCATATAAAAGTATCACTTCCTGCATTCATTATTGAAAAAGGATCTAGCAGCTCAATTATGGAGTCCTGACGGAAGAATCGCAGATTTCATCCACGCAGCAGGAATTTATCATCAAACATCCCCCCATGTAGAATTTTCACTAACATGTTGGGCTTTTTATCTTCCAGTGGGTTTTTCGAACTAACGAAAACACCTAAATTTTTCACTATGGTTTTATCTAAATTATTTCACTATTTTTTTTGCTATAGTAGTTGTTCTAATAGTATATTTGCTGCTAGAAAGGAAATCTCAAAAGAGTGGCTTCTACAAAGCTATGCATATTTCCCAAGGTGCTTTAAAATATTGAATTGAGGATCACAGAGGCTGGTTTTCATGTCTCGGTTCCTTCATTTCAAATCCTGTTCTAATACAGCAAAGGAACCCTACTGATAAGTCACGGTTAATTGGTAACAATTATAGATGTAAACAGCTGTAGTTCAAATAGATTTTTAAGACAATGTTTTAATTTGAATGAAGTTGAAGTTGACGGAAGAATTACAAAGACAGAACAGAGAATTCCTAGACACCATTTACCCAGCTTCTTGAACATTAATATCTTACATAACCACAGTGTATTTATCCAAATAAATTAACATTGGCACAGGACTACGCACTACACTAGGCACTTTATTTGTATTTCCAAGTGCTCCCATTAACACCCTTTAGGAAAAGGTCCAGGACCAAATGGTCACTCGTCAACCACACATAACAATTTTTTTTAAATATTTGTTAAGACAGAAAAAACAAACTAAACCACGTTGGCACTCTGCTTCACCAAGAGAGAGTGAACTGCCAAATATCAAAAGACCCAGAAGTGAGGGTGTCTTGGGACTCCCCCTTCTGTGTTGTGAACTCAGGGCTGTTCCCTGGAGTCCTCTCTTCTCTGCTACTTGAAATGAGGTGGTAAAACTATGTTCCTAAATCTGTATATATGAAATACATGAAATTTGCCTTAAATAAGAAAAGAGATGAGGTGGTCCAGCTTGTGGCCTCATTAAAGGGCCATCCACAGTATGTTTATAAATACTGGGGACTCTTTCTTCTCGTTTTGCTTTATTTTTTTTTTAAGACATAAATACGGGCACATCGAAGTCAAGTTCCCTTTCCATAGCAAACGCATTGTGATCAAGAGTAGGAGTGGGCGTCTTTTGCATCTCCCAGGGTGCACGCCTCACATTCTCCAGGTCACTGCTCTAAGCTCTGTCCACACCCTCTGGTTGTCAGGGGGAATACCGTGAGATCCTAGGTCTAAACTCAGCCAGCTGCACTGTTGCAATGTCATCTCCCTTGCCGGGCAAGACCACGTTCTTCTGAATTATTGATAGGTACTAAACAGCTACGGAGCAGCCCATTAATTAGTGTGCACAGGTACATTCCTTCAGGAGCACCGCTTCGGCCTCCCCTTGACACACTCTTCTGGCAGGGCAATGCTGGAACAACTTTAGGGGGTGGGAGGCAGGCAGCCCTGAGGCACCCTTGAAGTCACCCCCACATAACCTGCATACTCCCCACGGTTGTGCTCGCTCCACGGTTTCACCACTGAGACTGGAGAGTACACACCTGACAGCTAGGACATTGTTAGAAGAAGGGAGGAGGTTGTGGACGCCCCCCACAACAAGCAGACACTGGAAGAGGCCCTCAGTGGTCAGCCCTGTTGGGGACTGCCTCAGCTGAAGAAAGCCACCTGCCCCAAGGCCCACGTCCTTCCAGGGCCAGCCTGCAACAGTGACCGGCCCACTGGAGGGAGGAAGGCCTGCCCCTTCCTGCTATCTTGGCCCAACGCTGGGGGCTACCCCAGCTTCACAGCCCCCTGAGTATTGACTGAGCCCTCTGCTGGGAACCCATCATAATGAGCTGCTCCCTCGGCCCAATCCGTGGGTCTACAATGCGAGAGCAACCCCCCCCGTAAGTGTCCCACACACGAGTCCACTCTCAGCACCCACTTCCCAGAAAACACTCCCCTCTTGCGCCAGCGGTCAGAATTGAAACAGCATGGAGTGGTAAGGAAAACCAGCACACCGGTGCCTGTGGGTGTTCCCAGACGTGTGTGTGTGTGTGTGTGTGTGGCCCATTTTGGTCATTTTCTTATAAAATTTGTAATACCAAATACATGCTTTCTTCATTTAAATCTTATTTTTGGAGCTAGTGTTGTGGCACAGTGTGTTGAGCCATGCATTCCACGCGAGCACCGGTTTGAGTACCAGCTGCGCCACTCCTGATCCAGCTCCCTGCTAACGTGGCTGGGAGAGCAATCAACGATGGCCCAAGTGCTTGGGCCCCTGCTCCCCACGTAGGGTTCCTGGGTGGCATTCCAAATGCCTGACTTTGGCCTGGCCCAGACGTGACTGTTATGGCCTTTAGGAAGTGAACCAGAGGGTAGAAGATCTCTTTCTGTCTCTTCCTCACTCTCTGTAACTCTATCTTTCAAACACATAAGTAAATCTCTCTAAAGATCTTATTTCTTCTTAAATTTTGATTTATTTTACATATCAGTACATAGTTTTAATTTTATTATTTATTTTAAAATTATTTACTCATTTGAGAGAGAGAGACAGAGCGCTCCCACCTACAGTTCACTCCCCAGATGGCTGCAAATGGCTTGGGCTTTGTTCAGGGCCAAGGCAACAAACTGGGAACTCAATCCAGGTTCCCCATGTGGATGGCAGGAACCCATTCACTTGAGCCATAACTACTGCCTCCCAGGGTTTGCATCAGCAGGGAGCAGGGGTCAGGAGTCACACCCAGGAGTCAAACTATGACATGGGATATGGTGTCTTAACCGGTGTCTGAACTGCTAGGTTAATCCCCACATAGATGCATGAAGGTTTTAAATCACTGCCTAATTGTCAGGATATCCCATAATAACAGCCACCGTCTGAGGGTCATTTGCTGGGCATTTGCTGGGCATTTGCTGGGTGCTGGGTATCTATTCCATGCGTGTCTATCCAGTGCCTGTTCTGGACTTGAAGGACAGCAGCCACCATTACTCTTGCTCTACTTCAAGAGTCAGCCACAGTTGTGACAGGCTAAAATGCCACTTGGGAGGCCCAGGTCTCATATCTGAGATCCTGGGTTCTAATCCCAGCTGTACCCGACTCCAGCTTCCTGCCAATGCACACCTGGGAGGCAGCAGCTGATGACTCAAGCAGTTGGGTCTTGCAGCCCCCACATGGGAGACCTGGATGGAGCTCCTGGTGTCCAGCAGTTGTGGGCATTTGGAGAGTGAACCAGTGAGTGGGAGATTGCTGCCTGTCTCTCTGCCTTTTAAATAAAATAGCTAAATTAAAATTGTACACATGGGGCTGGTGCTGTGGCGTAGTTAAAGCCATGGTCTGCAGCACCAACATCCCCTGTGGGCACTGGTTTGAGTCCCGGCTGCTCCACTTGAGATCCAGCTCCCTGGTAGTGTGCCTGGGAAGGCAGCAAAAGATGGCACAAGTCCTTGGGCCCCTGCATTCACACAGGAGACCTGGAGGAAGCTCCTGGCTCCTGGCTTTGGCCTGGTCCAGCCCCAGTCATTGTGGCCATCTGTGGAGTGAACCAGTGGATGGGAGGTCTCTCTCTCTCTTTCTCCCACCCCCTCTGTCTCTCCAGCTCTTTCTCTAAATCTGCCTTTCAAATGCATAAATATAAAGTATTGTACATGAAGAGTTGGCTGCTATCTTCTCCCTATTTGCCAGATGAGAAGACTGAGGTTTAAGTGACTTGGTCACGGTAGGAGCAGGAAGCTGTGGGGCCAGGATCCATAAGCAGGCAGCGGCTGCCCACCCTGTCTGCTCCGACGCCCTCCTCCAGGACACCCCCCACCCAACAGCTCATCTCAGCAGCGCCCTCTGTTGGGCGGCCGAGGCTGGTACAGTGGCCCTGCAGCGCCTCTCCCTCCCAAACTGGAACTCCTGGAACCGGGTCTCCGCGAGCTGTCCCCTTCATCCTCACCCGGACCGTATTTCAAAGGTGCTTTTCTTCAAAACTGGGGTTTGAAGGAATCAAAAGGTACTGCATTCCATTCTTAATATGAAAATCTCAGGTTAAGCTTTTAAAATCCTTGCATGCAGGCCCTGCGTGTTGGAGGCCTGTTTGCAGATAGGGTAACTACCTGCTTACCGGGGCCCGAGTCTCTGGTGGGAAGTGGAATGTTTTTATTGAAATTGTTCTTGTTTGGGTTTCGGGGGTTGGGGGGGGGACGAGAGCTGATCTACAATCTGGGTCTGGTTTTAATCACAGCACAATCTTCATGAGACGATGGGAGGCTGAGAATTTTTTATTCTGATATTTCTCAAGAAAAACGCATGTTCAGGAATGATGCAAAGCCATCAGCCTTGGAAGAAAGATGGCAAAAAGGAACCTCTTGTATTCAAAAGCAGCAGGAAATTCCAGAGGAGTTCCACAGGGGGAGGGGAACCACTCTGTATTGCTGTTTGTTAGGTTGTTATTTTTTTTTTTTTTTTAGCACGGTGTAATAGCTGGTTCTGTCAAGCACCCAAAACTCCTTTCAGAAATCAGACCGTTGGCATTCCCTGAAGTGGAAACACAACCCTGTACCAAACACATCAAAGACCCACCAGGTGTCCCGTGGCCCATCCACCCTCTTCAGAGACGCTCTGTCCACAGATCCAGCGTATCGTCAACGATTTCACGTCTGTGCAGTTTGTCATCAGCCTCCGGGTCTTCTTGAAATTTCCACAGTTTCATTTAATGGTCAACGCACTGGCTTGGGGGTGAGGGGGAGGTCATTTGGCCTGATGTCAGGGTCAGCTGTTGAGACTGAAGGTGTTTCAGCCTTTGCAATGGTGAGAAGAGTGCAAGCTGAGCCTTCCAATCAGCTGCGAAACTATCAACGCTTCCTGGGTGTGGGTGTGTGGCGCTGATATGCAGTGGGATGTATTTTTCATTAAATACAAACAGAGTGCAAGCACAACTTTACTGTTTTCAGGAGTGTCCATAATTTCAAAATTAATCATCTTCTTTCTTATGCATCTGGGTGAATTTTGACTTTATAACAGGCATAATGATTCAACTACAGAGAATAAAAACTAGCAAAAAAAAAAGCAGGAGGTGCCAATAAAAGCAAAAAGAGAGAAAAAAGTTTCAGAGGAATGAGGCTTTGCCAAACGATATACAACAGAGTTCCCTCAAATTCATTCTGAAATGCCTCGTTTGGAGTTTATTTGTGCTGGTTTCATAGCCTGAATCAAACCACAGAGGTTTCATGTGTAAAGTAAGCACCGGTTTTAAAATTCATCTTTGGGTTAGGAGAGCATCTCTTCTTATTCCCATTGTCTTGTCTCTTTCCAAAGCAAGAAATTTAATTTTTTTATGTGACTGGAATAGTCACATGTCACAATACAGTAGGACCTAAAACTCCAACAACTTTGGCTTAACTTTGCAATTTTCTAAATCCACCGTGAAAAGTAAAAGAAAGCTGGATAAATTAAAATATCTAATATTTTCCAACTGTTTTGTTTCTTCTCCTTTGCTGTAAATTATACATGTTTACAAGAAGGAGTACAACTGCCTTTCCTCCTGTTGCTTGAATCCCTTTGTCTACAGAAAGTGGAGCATGCTCATCCATTATTTAAGTTGCTGTTTCTATAACTGAATTAATGTATACATCTACACAAGCAAATGGGCTGCTGGAGTCCGTGTCCACACACACACACACACACACACACTTTGGTTTCAAGTCCCACTTCATAATCCCTGCATAGATGCTTAGACTGTAAATAATACTGTAAGAGAAATAAAAGCTCAAGTATTTTTAGCAAAAAGGATGTTCTCCTTGTTGGAAAAATTCCTGTCTCACTCTGAATTCTCTGGAGCCTAGAGTGGAAAGGCACAGTTGTTATTACATCCTGCTTGGCAAAGTACGCACCGGCTCTACGTAGCCTGCCCTGGATCCTCAGTACCGGGTGGGTGTTTGGCCTGGCAGTTAAGACGCCGTTTATGCATTCCATATCAGAGGATGTGGGTTCAGCTCCTGTCTCTGACTCCTGACTCCAGCTTCCTGCTATCAGACCCTGGGAGGCAGCAGGTGATGGCTCAAATAGCTGGGTCCCTGCCACCCATGTGGGAGACCTGGATTGCGTTCCCAGCTCTCAGCTTTAGTCCAGTGATTCCCCAGCCACTGCAGGCATTCGGGGAGTGAACGAGAGAATGGGAGCGCACTCGCTCGCTCACTCTCTCTCTCAAATAAGACAAGTTTATTTTGTAAAATTCTGGGGCTTTGCTCTTTCCTTCATTGTTAGCACAGCCTCACTTGCCAATACCTTCCTTTTGCAACTCTGGTTCCTGGTCCCGACCCCTGGATTTTTCACTGCTTCAGTGAAGGGAGGAGATAGAGTGGAGGGAGGAGATGGAGTGGAGGAGGATTTAAGAGCAGCCCTAGGTGGAAAGTGAGGACACAAACTTGATGTTGGTGGGACACACGTATCTACTGTCCCTTGCCCCTATGCCTCCAACCTGCATACGATGTGTGTCTAATGCATGCTTTGACTCATTTTTGGAGAAGATACTTTCATTTTAAAAGCCTTCCCTGTGCGTTGCAGCTTAGGAAGTGTGGGGAGCAAACCGGACTAGACTGAGTTACTGGAATTAAGACTTATTCTATGCATCTGCTCTCCCACTGTGGGGAGCAAACCGGACTAGACTGTTACTGGAATTAAGACTTATTCTATGCATCTGCTCTCCCACAATATGGCGCTGGGAGAGAAGTAAACAGCTTCCGCACAGCTGCCTCCAGTTCAACCAATAAACTGTAGGACTTGCTCCTGATTGGAGGAGAGCAGCGTACTCGGCGTGTGGGCAGCCGAGTTGGGATTGGCGGAGGAGGACTATAAAGGAGGAGAGAGACGGCATGCACCAGGAACATCTATGGGGAACATCTAGCTGAAGGAACACCTGTGCAGCCCCCGAGAAGAGCCGGCCGGCGGTGTGCCGCTCCCCTGCGGAAGTGGGGAATGTGGCCAGGGGGAACTGCCCTTCCACGGAGGTGGAAGGGATAGTAGCCAACCCGGGAAGAACCAGCAGCAAACCCGGGGAGGGCCGAGCAGACGAAAGAACAGCGCAGGGTCCTGTGTTGCTCCTCCACGAAGAGGGGGAGCGACATAATGGTGCCGTGACTCGGATATGAAGCCTAGGCAGGGCTTAGTGTCGTTCCTCCACGAAGAGGGGGAGCGACAGGAAGGAATACCTTCTTTAAGTGGGAAACACAATCACACACACAAGTGATCTGCAATGTTTAATTTTTCAATAAATACATGGTTAGGAGTATGGGGAAGAGACAGAGAGAACCAAAGAACTGATTGCAATTGTCCTGCTTACCACAGAGAACCTACTGTCTCACATTTAGCTTGTCCATGCTTGGGTTAACTTATGGTGCCCTTGGGGCTGGCATTGTGGTACAGTGGGTAAAACCACGGCCTCCAATGCTGGCACTCCATGTGGGCACCAGTTGGCGTCCCGGCTGCTCCACTTCCAATCCAGCTCCCTGCTAATGCTCCTGGGAAAGCAGCAGCAGGTGCCCCAAGTGCTTGGGCCTCTCCACCCACGTGGGAGACCTGGAAGAAGCTCCTGGCTTCAACCTGGCCCCGTGCTGGACATTGTGGCCATCTGGGGAGTGCACCAGCAGATGGAAGATGTCTCTGTCTCTCTCTCTAACTCTGCCTTTCAAATAAATAGAAAAATCTTTAAAGAGAGAGAGAGAGAGAGAGAGAGAGATTGTGCCCTGAAGGCAACTGTGAAAATATTCAGTTGTATGCAGGAGATAAAACCCCCAGGACACCCACCATTCGCTCACAGTAGTGAATGCCCCGTTAGGTGTCAGGCTCTACTATGATGCAGGGGCCACGGGGTGAATAGATGAGCACGGCCCTGCCCCCTGGGGAGTTAGCAAGCTTGCAGTCGTACCAGCAAGCACATTTCTAAGAATTCTCCACCCAAATGATGGCAACTACAACTTGCCAAAGACTTCACCAAATGCCGGGTGCCAGAGCCGGACTCTGAGATTTAGTCAAGGAATTGGCTCAGCTGGGGTGGGGGTAGGGGGTGGGGGGTCGGGGGGCAGGGTTGACGTAAATCCAGAGTGTGGCAGATAGGAAACTCGGGCAGGATTTCACGGGACAGTCTAGGGGCAGGATCCTCTGCCCTGGGACACCTCAGGTTTGCGTCTAAGGCCTTCCATGGATCAGAGGCCCACTCCCATCACCAAAAGCCATTTCCCTTTCAGGTCAGCCCACTCTAAGTGTTCATCCTATTTACAAAGTTTGTCTCGTACAGCCACGTCTAGACCAGGGTTTGACTGTGATCTAGCCAAGTCAGCAGATACAGTTAACCATCACTGTTGTCAATCACCACCCATCCCCAATCACAAGCAAGGAAAGCAAGGCTTGGAGAGACCGGCTTGCTCAAGGTCACAGTGTGAGAGCAAAGTCTGACCAGAGTCACTCACGGCTGTGCATACAGCCCACCACAGCTGTCGAGGCCTTCTTAGGACAGCTGCTGACTTCCAAAGAGGGGGCCCCAGGGCGAGAGACCTGAGCCTCGTAAATCCTGATTCAAGTCAGAAATCTTAAAAATGGAGCATGCAGGGGCTGGCGTTGTGGCACAGTGAGTGAAGCCGTCTCCTGTGACACCTACATCCAGTGTGAGCCCTGGTTTGAGTCCCGGCTGCTCCACTTCCAATCCAGCTCCCTGCTAATGCGCCTCGGAAAGCAGCGGAAGACGGCCCCAGTGCTTGGGCCCCTGCACCCATGTGGGAGACGCGGAGGAAGCTCCAGGTTCCTGGCTTCAGCCTGGCCCAGTTCTGGCCGTTGAGGCCATCTGGGAAGTGAACCAGCAGATGGAAGACCTCTCTGTCTCTCCCGTTTTCTCTGTAACTCTGTCTTTCAAATAAACAAATAAATCTTTTCTTAAGAGATAGTGCAAAAAGCATAATGAAATAGACACAAATAGTCTCAATTGATTTTTTTTTTTACGAATTCATTTGAGAGACAGGTGGGGGGAGTTGGGCGTGGAGAAAGCACTCCCCAAGTGCTGACAATGGCGGGGGTTAGGCCAGGGCTGGAACCAGGAGCTGAGAACTCAACCCAGATCTCCCACGAGAGTGGCAGGAACTCAAATACTATCATCTCCTGGAATAAGCGACTGGAGCAGGGATTCGATCCCAGAGTTCCGGTGTGATCCGGCGTGTTACCCAGCGGGCTGAACACCCACTCCTCAGCTGGTCTTTGATACAAGCATAAACTAACTCAGGGAAGAAGCCATAATGCGCTCATTACCAAAGACAGAACAATGCATATCCATTTGCCAAAGAACGAACAATGGTCAACCATCGCACTGTAGCCAAGACAGAAGTCAAAAGGGGTCAGAAATTGAAGCACAAAAACTAAAACCATAAACATTCTGGATGAAGACATCGGAGAAAATCTCTGTGACCTCAGGTCGGGCCAGTATCTCTTACACCACACACCACACACACACATACCATACACTCCACACACACACTCCACACACACACCACACACACCCCACACCATACACACCACACATACCACACACTCCACACACACACTCCACACACACACCACACACACCCCACACCATACACACCACACATACACACTCCACACACACACAGCACACATACACACTCCACACACACACCACACACACACCCCACACCACACACACCACACACACACATACACCACACACACACACCACACACACACACACACCACACACACACCACACACTCCACACACACACCACACACACCACACACTCCACACACACCACACATACCACACACACACCACACACACCACACACACACATACACCACACACACACCACACACACACACACCACACACACACCACACACCCCACACACAACACACACCACACACACCACACACACCACACACACCACACACCCACCACACCACACACACCACACACACACACACACATACACCACACACCACACACTCCACACACACACACACCACACACACACACACCACACACACACCACACACTCCACACACACACCACACACACCACACACACCACACACCACACATACCACACACACCACCACACACACCACACACCACACACACACACACACCACACACACACCACACACTCCACACACACAACACACACCACACACTCCACACACACCACACACACCACACATACCACACACACACCACACACACCACACACACACATACACCACACACCACACACTCCACACACACACACCACACACACACACCACACCACACACCACACACTCCACACACACACCACACACACCACACACACCACACACACCACACATACCACACACACACCACACACACCACACACACACCACACACACACACACACCACACACACACCACACACTCCACACACACAACACACACCACACACTCCACACACACCACACACACCACACATACCACACACACACCACACACACCACACACACACATACACCACACACCACACACTCCACACACACACACACCACACACTCCACACACACCACACACACCACACATACCACACACATACCACACACACCACACACACACATACACCACACACACACACCACACACACACACACCCCACACACACACCACACACACCACACATACCACACACAT